TTAACCTTCTTAGGATTTCTATTAGTATACTTTTATACTTTGTAGATTTGCTTCTTCTTTGTTTTTCTTTTTTTGAAACTCTTCTTCTTTGCTGTGGCCTGCTCTTAGTATTTTTGATCTTTCTTTTCTTGTGATTTTTTTCATAATGTTCTCTTCTAAATTTTTGTTTCTTGCTATATCTTTGTTCTTTTCTTTCTCTTGTTTCATTTTTCATTTTTTTACTCTTTCTTTTTGATTTGATTCTTCTAGTTCATTTGCACTATCTTTTTCTCTTGAGTATGAGGCTTTCTACTCTAGCAACCAATTATTGTATCTTACTGATTTGAAGTTGCTTGATCTCTATCTTCTTCATATTTGAATACTATAATTGCTATTGCTCTTTGTTTGCTATTGCTATTGTATAGTATATAAACTGATTTGATCTCTTTGTTTCTCAAGTTGTTAAGTAATAAGATGTCTGATATGCCCTTGGTATTTCTCTTAGTTTTGCTATTATGTTGCTTTGGCTATCTTTTTTTTTAAAGTTTTCTATATCTTTTGTAACTCTTGCTAACTTTTCATCTCCAATTAGAATGGCTCAAGGGAATTCTTTGTTTGGTCTTTTTCTAATTTTTAATATTGCTAGCACTTTTAAGAATTTTTTTTTATTTGTATTTCTTCTATTTTGTATAATTTCTTGCAGGCATATTATATTTCTTGCTGATTTATTTTTTTGAATAGATTTCATATTGTTATATATACTGTTTCTTTGCTATCTTTTTCTTGCTTGATTCTTTATTTTTTGTTTCTGTAGTAAAGACCTTTTTAAAATTTTCTTTTTGTTTTTTCTCTTTTTATCTTCTTTGCTCTATCTGTATTTAAGCTTTTATAAGTAATATTATTTCTTCTTTTTGGTTGTTATATCTTTTTTAGTATGATTCTAAACCACTTTCAGTTTTTTTTTATTTTTTCTATTGCTTCTTTTTTCTGCTTTATAGTCAAAAGTTACTTTTACCTATTATTATAGTTTTTGAATATTTCTTTGACTTCTTTGAAATGTTTGTTACTAGCTAGCATTTTTTCTATCATTTTGATATATTGTTTTTTATTATCTTCTAATATATTATATGCTAGTATCTTGGTCTTGTATTCCTCTATGTTGCTGCAAGATCTTCTATTTGGTGTTTATATGCTTTGACTTATTAGATCTTCTTTTTGAATTTTTTGTATACTTATGCTTGCTTCTGCAGTATCTTGTAGTTCTTGATAAATCTCCATTCTGTCATATGCTACTTGCATATTTTTTTGTTTTTCTCTGTTTGTCTTGTGTTTCTTTTCTGTTTTTTTCTTTCGTTCTTTTTATTTGAAGACAGAATAATCTCTTCTTGTTTAACTATTACTTTGTTTCTGCTGTTTAGTTGTTATTTCTAGTTCTTATATTTGTTGTTATATATTATCTATACTAGTATCTTTTGTTTGCACTGGTATATTATTTTTTTTTCATAATATTGGTTCTTTCCTAATACTGATAATTCTATTTGTAGAATTTTTTTTATAATTTTCATCTTGTTTTCTTCTCTTATTATTTTTTTTAGACTTATACTCACCATATAGTTACTAGACCCCAAATTTAGTCTAGTCAACTTGGTTTTTTTGCCAGTTTTGAAAAATTTTGTTTAGAATATTATCTTTAACTGCTAGTAATACTTCTCTTATATATCCAATAGTGATAACATTTTGACTATTTCTTTATCTAATTTTTTTGCTAAACAGATTGCTGCTATAAGAGTTATATTATCTAGTTCTCTTATTCTGGCTTCTTGTAAGCATCTAGTAAGATATTCATAGTTAATATATTTAAGTTTTGTTTTTGCTTATATTATAATTAGTCATAATAGACCCATATCATATATATTTATTTTCTTCATATGATATTTCTTTGTGTAATTTAATTATCTATCTTAATCTTTCTAGAATCGAGTTCTTTAGTTTTATATAATTATTAAAACTTATTATAAGTTTATATTAACTAATATTAATTTGTATATTTTAATATAACTTATATATTGCATAAATATCTAATGATTCTTTTAAATATTAATATAATTTTAGTTACAGATTTTAAATTTAACTAGTATAAATAATAAATTTGAGAGTATAAAAACTAAAACTTTTAGATAAATTACTATTAATTTTATAATAAAAATATAGTTTAAAAATATACTATTTGTAGTAAAACAAATTTTAAAAAATATTATTTGGTTTAAAAAAAATTTTTAATAATTTTATTAATAATTTTAAAAAAAATTTTACTAAATTATTTTTTGACAATTATTAGATTTTTGTATATAAAATTATTTAATTATATAATTTTTTAGATTTTTAGAATATTTTAATAAATATATTACCAGTAATATAAAAAGTAAACTTATATTCATTAAATATATATATTAGAGGATTTCTAGAAATCAGCTAATTTATTTTTACTAATAGATTGCCTAAGGCCAAATCTACTTAACACTCCTATTAGTTAATCAAATTTTATATATATTATATACAATCAAATCTTATTATAGTTACTTTTGATATAGTTATAATCTTGCTATAATTACACTATTTCTTAATTCTAGATATTATAAAACATATAAAATTTAACCTTTATATAATTACACTTTTTTATAATTACTAAATATTTGTTTTCAAACTTGGTGATTATATCAAGGCCTAACTATATATATATAATATTAAATATATAAACTTTAATAACTAATAATTTTTAATCTATTAAACCAAATTAGATATTTTAACTACCAAAATAATTCTTTTAGTAAAAGAATTTTAACAAGCTCAATTATTAAAATCTAATTATTAGATCCTAAGATTAATATAGATTTATATATTTTTATATAAAAAAACATACTTGTTGCTGCAGGTGACAGTTACCGATCATGTAGATATCGTATATATATTTCTTTTTGCCCAATTAACATGCAGATTTATGATGGCCTTAATTTTTTAAATAAGGTAAAAAAATCACATTACCCTGAAATTTTTGTGTGCCAATATACAGTGCTTGATTTTTTATGATGATTATTTATTTATGCGATCTTTATAAAAACAAGGACCTTTTAGAACACTTGATATAAAGATAACACACCAAAATAATTATCAATCTTAATAAAGCGAAAGAACTAGAATTATCAGCCTCTTTGTATAAAATAATACACTAAAAACAATACGTAATATGTACGTATGTACTTAATTGCACATATTGCTGAAACTTGAAATAAGCGTTACTAAATTTAGCATATCTCTTCCACACAATCACTATATATACGTACGTATGTACGTACATACACACATAACAAACAAAATTTTTTAGCTATTGTCATATAGAAAACGGTATTTAGTATATAGAAGTTTTGTTTTCTAAGCAAAATATGTAACTCTGGCTAAGATTCTTTTCTATAAGCTAATTCTAACGTTTTATGAAATGTAATATAACTATCAGAAATTGAATAACTAGAAGGTCACAAACAAAGCTAAAAGCAAAGTTCACAAAAAACCAGTGCAAGGCGAAACCAAAGCAGAACCGAAACAAGAGCAAAGCAAAAAAAAAACAGAAGCAAAGGCAAGGAAAACCCAAGCCAAACCAAAGTGTAAAAACTCAAGGGTAAAGTAAAATTAAAGCAGAGATCACGAAAACCCAAAGCAAACGATAATAATAAAAATGGTATTTCCTACCAATAATAAAAGAATATCTCTGTCTAGTAATGATAAAATATCTTTGCCTAGTAATAACAAAATGCTACCTAATAATAATGTAGCTGTTACACCTAATAATAATGAAACTATATTGCCTAGCAACGACGAAACCATACTATCTAGTAATAAAAATGAAATTCAGTATGGTAATTCAAATAATAATATTGAAATATGAAATAGAAGCAATAATGCAATACTACCTGATAATAATACACAGTCAAGTAACATTAGTGATTTAGAAGATTCAATTATCAATATCACAAAGTACTATATTTTGATTTTTATTGTTGTATTATCTGAACCAATAGATATTATTGAACTATTTTTTAGTTTTCTTATTTGAAGGATATCTAAGGCTATTAAAATTAGGATTAGGGTTTGTTTAAGGTTAGGGTTATGCATGTATTATAGTACAATTGTATTAACATTTTCTGAGATACGTAGTTAGCATAGATCTCCAAAATAAGAAAAATGAAAAATGGTTCTAATTTTATTTTCTGTTAATAAATCTAACTTAATTTTTTTATTTCAGCTTTCTTAATTTAAAATGATCCAAATTTTAGTTCTTTCCATCTACAACCAACCATAGTACCGCCTTATGTTAGACAAGTCTTCGAAACGTGGGAGGATATTGATGAGTATCTTCATGGATATGTGTAGCAAGAAAAATTTGTAATTATCAAAATTAGAAATAAATGGAGTTCCTCATCAGACAAAACTTATAGGCGATGCACTTATGCGTATGATCGTCAGGGTACTTATAAACCTAAAAAACTGTGATTTTAGAAAATCAAAAAAATAGCAAATCAAAATGTAATGGGTGCCCTTGGCATATTAATTTGATCTTTCCGAAAAAGGCCACAACTATTAGTATAACATCTTTGGATCTTAATCATAATCACCCCTTGATCCTATAACCAATTTGTATACAGCCAAAATCAGATATTACCTGAAGCTGTCAAACAAGAAATTTACTTTTATACGATTGAAGAAAACCTTAATGCAACAATTCAACACAACTTCTATCTGCTAAGTTTCCTAATATTACAATATATCTATATGATCTACAAAACTTAATCTAAAAATATAAAGTAGCAAATTGGGAGGAAAATGATGCTTCAAAGCTTCTAAAACAGTTACTTAACAAAAAAGTCGAGGAACCAGGGTAGAAAATATTTTGGGAAATTCACCCTGAAACAAAAAGTCTGGATAAAGTGTTCTGGATATCACCAGAGCAGGTTCGATTGTAGATTATATATTATGATGTTATATTGAACGATAATACACATAGAACCAATCAATTCAATATGCCGCTTTTCCTATTTATAGCAGTCAATAATTATTTTCACACCCATCTTGTGACACAAGCATTAGTTAATGATGAAATCAAGGAAACTTATGAGTGGTTTCTCACCTTAACTTTACAAGCTACAAATCACACCCACGAGTTTTCATTACTGATGCTAATCCCGAGATAGATGTTGCTATTGACAATCAATATAGTGATGCGTATTCACTTCATTGTATATATCACATTTCTCAAAATCTTATGCACAACCTCAAGGCTTCCCTTGGTAGTTCCTATAATGATTTCATAAGAGATTTTTATTTGTGCCAGAATGATCTTTCTTCTGCTGGGTTTGATATTTGATGGTATAAAATTATTAAGTCTTACCCAATACGACAAATTATCTTAATTCTGAGTTATATTCTAGTAAAAGAAAATGGGCTAAAGCATACACAAATAAATTTTTCACAGCTGGTATTTCATCTATATCACATGTTGAAAGTGAGAATGCTGTAATAAAAAATATTCTTCAAGGCTATCCTAGCCTTTGTAAACTTGCTGCTATTTTGGTCCTTCGGTTAAGTGATGAGGCACGATATATTAACTATAATAAATAGTACT